CGTGATATATCCTTACCGACAGCCGACCGTCTTCACCTACTTGGAGTGGACCTGTCGTCCAATCTGAACTTCGGCAGATACATTGAATCCATGGCCAAAAATGCAGCCAAGAAGCTTGGTATCCTTTCCAAGGCGAGGCGTTACTTCACACCGGGACAGTTGTTTCAACTGTACCAAGCACAAGTCCAGTCGTGTATGGAGTACCTGCCACGTATGGGATGGCTCAGCTAAATACCAACCGGCCACCTTGGATTTAATAGACAAGCATACTAAGAAGCTTATAGGTGACTCGGAAATAGTAGAGGCGAAGCTGCAGAGCCTTGAACACCGCCGTAGAGTTGCCAGCTATCGGTATTCTATAGAATATATCACGGAGTGTGCGATGGAATTGCATAATTTGATTCCGCCTTCCCCTTTCCACCCCTATGTTGTGGATATTCCCCGGATTCGCACGAAGCGTTTCGCTTCCACATTTGTATGGCGAGCGGCTAGAGAGTGGAATTCCCTACCTGCAGGCTTGTTCCCCGAACGCTATAACTTGGACCTTTTCAAGGCGAGAGTGAATAGGCATTATTTAAGGTGTGCTTGCTACATCCTCAACCCCATCGTCACTTTCCTTCAGGTGAGATGAAGGTCTAATGCGCACTTATTTCTTATTTAAAAAAAATTAAATTGTTCATGGTTATTTTCTATCCCATTACATTCAATACTCCAAGAGTAATAAATTAAATACTATGAATATGTCACAATTTCAAAACTTATTTTGCGATTCCCAAAAAGTTGGAATTGTTTGGTAATTTTCAATCTAAAGGTGCTAATTCTGTGCTCTAAATACTATCAATCTAACTTACACAAAATCAATCTTATAACAAAGAATTTGAGGTGCTTCAAGTGCATTACAGGTCAGTTAGAACTTTCAGATATTTTATTTTCCGATTTGGCGTAGCGCTAACTTTAGCATAATAAAACCTCCAAAACATTGTTTTGACAATCTTATCGCTAACGCCGTGGTCTGGTCTACATGAAACTCTCGATAAAGTTGTCTACGAACTTGATGATACGTCTTTATGCCTATCTTTTGACAGTCATTGATGATAATTTGCAGGAGAGAAATTCATTTGATTACAGTCCCACATTTATCGACAATCATTAGATGTAATACTGTAACAAATAAACGTAAATCCGTGGAAGTGATAGCCTCTATGCTCACCCTAGATTGGCACTCCACCAATATCACATCGTTGGCGTAAACCACTTGTTTAATTCCCCCACTAAAAACATACTAGTAGTTCTTATTCTAATTATGCTAACAAGCCCCAAGACTAAGGGCGCGTTCCCATTATATTGTGACGACAGATAGTCGTGCAGTTTAGTGTCGCGGCTTGTATATTTAAATGAGTTGTTCATAGATGGAACAATACGATTAAATGTCATTCTTGACAAGGCGGCTGCCGTGAACCGAAAATTAATAATAATAATTATAAACATCACGATCTAGTGGAAACAGCTAGACACGACAGTCGTTCAACGATAAATAAACGTCCACGACACAGTCACGACAGATAGTCGTGATATGGCAACAGGCTAAAAGCAACAGTCGTCCAACAAATAAAACGTTACGACATAATGGAAACGCGCCCTTAGGCGATGCAGGCCTTGTAGCCAAGTTCCAGATCATGAGGCAAAACACCGTACCCTCGGTTGCTGACACCATGAAACAGTTTTACTACGAGACTTTAGTATGACTAGATTTAAAGTTATGTATGTTTAATATAAATTTCAACTGCCTTGTTTTTCTGGTCATATAATTTGACTTTTGAATTTACGGGTTTAAAATCAAGGTTGCTATAAGAGCTCATTTAGGCTCCCAAGTTGGCAAACGGCTTGCCGTCTGTGATGAAACAATCACAAAGATACTAACGCACAAAATGTACTAAGTTTGTAACTAACAGTTCCCCGAACGTGTAAGGCGGGGGAACTGAATACGAATAAAATACAAAAACCAAATTGCTGATTGACGACGCGACGGCAATAAATTTGCAAAATTTAGATATATTTGTATTTATTTATGTAACGGTATGGGCGGAAATGCTCGCGACACTGATATTAATACTTTAAAACGAGGCTCTTGTCAATCTTTGATGAACATGATCGTTCCTAGTATTGAATTGACCAATATAATCTACACAAACTTGAAACATATATACAGAAACATGTGGAATAACAAAAAATAAACAGTACATAACAAAATAAAAATAAACAATTAAATATTTTGAACGACCTTCGTCGTCGTCGAGTGGCTTGCATACGGGTTTTCATAATGTCGCAGTCTCTGAGGTTCCGGGTTCAAACCCCGGTAGGGTGAATGGAAACTAACTTTCCTACTTTCCTTTGTGGTACCTACCGTCGTTTTTTTCCCGATTTCCATAAGTGCTTTAGTTGTTTATGTTGTCTATATTAAAATTTAATATTTATTTATATTACAAAAACAAATCTTCAGATCGCACTGTAAAAAGGACTAATGCAGGAATCCCGCAACAGAGTGTTCTAGCCCCGTTACTGTTCCTCCTTTACATTAACGATCTCCCAGATCATTCATCATAATTGTATACAATTTGCTGACGATACAACTCATTGACCTACCAACAAAACAACTCTTATAATAAAATGTGAAAACAAAGCGACGTTTAACACCGATAGAAATAAAATAAAGCACTGACAGACGTAATAAGTTGGATGGACAGATGCACACACATGATTTAAATATTATAAGTAAAACTAAACTCATAACATCTTAAAACTAAACTCATATCATCTTACAGCTCAAATTCTATAGGTACCCATTAAAATAAACTACAATGCTGATAGATACATTGTAGACAAAAGTTGACACGTCTCTTTCTTGTGCTAACAATCGACAAGCACCTTAGCTGGAACTAGCTGGAAGGAACAAATCGAGCAAATTTTATAAAGTTAAACAGGATATACGACAGAGAGTTTGCGATGGAATTGCACGATTTAATTCCTCTTCCCCTTTCCACCTTCGGGGGACTAGACGTAGGCTGGGGTTCTATATCAGATTCGCACAAACGTTACGCTGCCACAAAGCTGCCACATTTATGTGACGAGCGGATATGGAGCGAAACTCCCTAAACGCAATAACTTGCACCTGTTCAAGGCAAGAGTGAATAAGCATTACTTGGGTCAACTTGGGTGTGCATGCTTCATCGTCGACGTCATCGTCATTTTCCATCAAGCGAGTTGAATGCTCGCACATTCGCACTTATTATACTCGTATACTGAATAATAAAAAAAAATAGAATTGTTTACGTTCTACGAAGGCTACTTGACAAACTGTCTCTCAAGTAGTTGAGTTGACGGCCTCAGTAGTTTTAGAAAGAGCGTTTAAGGTTCAGAAAAAGTGTATTCGCTTTGCGGTGCGTGGTTCGATCACAGTGCAAATCTTTATTCAAAAAGCTAAACATTTTGACTTTACCATGAATGTATATTAAATAATAACTGTAAATTTCTAAACACTCATCAGACGTGGTGACGTCATTCAAATACAAACTAGAGCTAAAGTCTTTGCCATAAAATTATTTATAATGTATCTGCTTCAATACCATTATTTTCAATAAATTACCAAGTGAAATTACATTGCTACATGGACATACTTTTAAAATTGTTATTGGTGCTTTTTGACATATTGCATCTATGTATAGTAATAATTAGAATTTACAAATACTGATTTACATTCATTCGAAACGAAATTAACTGTAGAAACAAAACATCAAATCCCATTAATAGTCGCTTAGCAAACAACACCGCTTTAGTAATTTCAAGTAATTTTATAGGAGCGTTTTTCACGCTCCTATAAAATTACTTGTAATAAAATTACCTGCATATATTATTGTATAAAAGCGGTGTTGTTAGATAAGCGACGATTTGCACATCTCTATGGCATTTAAAATGTGTATAATTACTGTATTCTGGCAAATAAACGTATTCTATTCTAATGCGTGACTGGATTCTGGGGACCTGCTAGAACCTTAAAAGCGCATTCTAATTGAAGGGGAAATCGGCGATATCAAATGTGGTCATCGGAAGCGTAGGTTTCTGTTAGAAAGAACGAACTTCCAAGATACCATGTAAAGAGTAATGTAAGTACAAATGGCGGTCAGCCTTCTGGGGATCCAAAACTAACTGCCTCCGTGGCCGAACGGTTACCATGCCGGACTGCCACGCAGATGTCCCAGGTTCGATTCCCGGGCCGGGAGAAATATTTATATGGCCTACATTTATTTCTGTCGTGAGTTTGGGTGTAATTTGTGGTTGTCTATGTGTGTGTCCATAGCACCCGCGACACAGGGTATCCCTAGTGCGGGGCTATGTTGAGTATGTGTGTTATTATTAAAAGAAAAAAAAAACATACAGGCATACACACAGAGCTATGGAAGATTCGTCACGTCAAGGAGATGTATAGTCGCGTTTGCTTTTGACCATGTGGATATCTTCAAACTACTCAAGCCCACTTTGTTTTATAAACGTTCTTTTAAATTTTTTTCTCTCGTGAGTTTGGGTGTAATTTGTGGTTGTCTATATGTGTGTCCATGGCACCCGCGACACAGGGTTTCCCTAGTGCGGGGCTATGTTGAGTGTGTGCGTTATTTCTTTATTTATTTAAAATCAAGGCAAGCTCGAAAGAGAAAATTTGTTTTGGTACCAGAGGTGCTGAACGAAGCCACCCTAATAAAAATAAATCTTGAGGTGTACATAGTCAATGATGGCCCTTGTATGTGTAAACTATGACAACAGTGCAGAAGCAAACACTTAAAACACTGGTACAGGTAACACAGGTGTTCAAAAGGAAAGTAGGCTAAGTATACTGCCCTTGTATAAATTCTTCTTGACTCTGTATTTAGGCCAAAATACTATAAATTGAACACATAATAGTGCTTTTATTTTATTGAGCAATTTAATAATGAATAATACAAACCAAATGAAGTCTTATAATTTTATTTAGGCTTTAACAGCGTACACTCTAGGAGGGAACAGGGACTTCTTCCTGATTTCTTTCTTTGTCTTGATCTTCATCTCGTGTTTTGTGAGGGCCTTACGCATCGCACGGGTCTTCTTCACTCTGAGGTCAAGAGGCTTGTATTTCTTGTTCTTGTAGTGATTGCGGAGGTTTACCTTCATTTTTTGGTGGTACACAATGTAGACACGGGCGATTGCTTTCCTTACTACACGGCTAAAATAAAAATTTATAATATTAATACATTTCTTGAGGGTAAAAAAGTTAGCTGCAAATTATTTACAAGAAAACTTTTTATAAAATATGATGCACTCTGAAAGTTAAGGAAGTGTGACTAAGCACTTTTTTCTACACATTTGTACCGATTGCAAAGGAAATGCACCCATATACTGGGTATTCCAAAACTCAATGTCAAGCGAACACTGGCTGAGGCCAGGTTGTATCAGTTACAGTAAAAATGAAATAAAAAATCCATGTCAGTTAAGTAACAATAGGCATAATTTTAAAAATGTTGAAAAACGACACCTTAGACCACATATCTTTAGGTACCCTAATTTTTTAATTTTGATGTGTTTTTTTAAACCAATTCTAAGCACCAAGCATCCTAAATGTTAATCATCAGGCACAAATCAAACAATGAACACTGTCAGAATAGTAACAAAAAATTTACTGAGATGACCAAATAGGATGAATGAGACATTGGCCTCATAAACTTTTTAATAGTGAAAAACTCAATGAAAAGCTGTATAATCTCGTAATCGATGTGTAATTGAATAACCTACGTCGAAACGACGTACTCAATTTGGAAAAATTGGTATAATTCCTTCGTATTAAACGCCCATCCATCCGCCATTCCTGCCAATTCGATCGACCCAGAGTTTGCAGAATATACTGGTGTCACTTAGGTAAGTACTCTACTTATTTAAATAATATACCTACCATATGTCGAAGTGGCTTATGGTTATCGTGTAGTTTGTGATTTATGTGCAAATAATTATTATATATTTTTAATTACAAATTGATATTTTTTTACAGGTAATGTTATTACAACAAAATGACGTGATTAGGTTTTGTAAAAGATGCAGAAATATCTGGTTACTACAAGAATTAAGAAAAAAACCTAACTTAACCTATATAATCCAATTTGTTTCTGCCCAGGGGGACTTCCGCATTTGTATAAAAAACCTAACTTAACCTAAATAATCCAACTCATTTCTGCCCAGAGGGACTTCCGCATTTGTATAAAAAAAACCTAACTTAACCTAAATAATCCAATTCGTTTCTGCCCAGAGAGACTTTCTTTTAACTTTTAGATTGTAATTGAAAAAACCTAACAATCTTTATACACAACGAACAACATAAATACGCAGTAAAAACACTCTGTAAATGGCTAAAACGCTTACCATGAAAAACCAAGAGAAATAAGAAAAAAACAAATATTGCGTTTTATTGTTGAAATTACGAAATTGTTATTGAATTATCATTACTATTGCAACATAACCTTCATAAGAAATAAAATTTTAAATTTCATGTAAATGCTATTAAATAAGTAATAGTATTTAGAAAACGAATAAAACATAATATACTTTCAAAATCTAAACAACACGATATAATTACAGTGGAATGTCGAAACACATTACATTAAATGTCAGCGTGCTTTTTTGACATAATTTTCGCATTACGTAGTTGTCAAGTGCATTTTTTTTGTTTAATTTTCATGATTTTCAAAAATTATTTGTCGAAAACCTTTGGCGTCCTAAAACTGAAAATTTGTGGAGGGGTTCCTTTTGACTAGGTCTATCTCTCTCCAAAATTAATTTGAACGCCCAACTCGACGTCACGTATACTAAAGTTGAGCCCTACTAAATGTCATACCAACCAAAATTAAAGACATGGCTACTTACATTTTTGACAGCTTGGACGCTACTCCACCAGTGACCTTAGCAACCCGAAGGTTTGTCAGCTCTGTCTTAAGCTCTTCAAGCTGTTTGAATAGCTCCCTTTTGTCCTTGGTGCGCAGTTCTGAGCACTTAACCTTGCCCTGTAAAATAAAGTATGAAATCTCATCAGTTATACAGTTCTTGAGCAGTAAACACTTCGGTAAGGTTATGAAATAATATTTGAAATAAACACAATCTAAACCTTAAAATAGGTATTGTAACACGAATATGTGGCCCTACATTCATCATATAGCACGTAAATCAAAATTCACAAGCCAAAATAAACTAAACAAATATATTACAAGTAAATCATTCCGGGTGCACACATACTGTAAAATAAATTAATGAAAACCATAAATATAACAAGAATTATATGTAACGCATTGCGTGTATCTTTTTATACGATGATTCATATAATATATAAAGATTTATCGCGTACCATTTTGAAAATTTTATCTTCATACACCAAGCACTACGACACTTGACATTAAAAGACTTTCAAAGTTCCGTTCCGTTCATAAACAAAATTGTGCACTTAGCTATTCAGCCTCCTAATATTTAATGGGTTTTAAAGTATGCTAGGATCTCTACGTAATCTAACTATCGTTATGTCATTTTTAACATTTATTAGTCTTAAAAAATTTCAGTAGTATACTGTGTATCACATTATAAATTAGCTGTAAATATAATTGATCAAGAAAATCTATGTGGAATGGAATGTATGTACACTGTAACGACCACAGACTTATTTATTCTACTTAAGTCCCTGCCATTAGGGTCGTATTTCCAGTAATGTCGACCGTAATGACAGGAACTCGAGTATGATTTCGAGTGCTTTAAACCATACTCAAATCCTGACTTGACCATTGAGTAGAGTTCTAGAATACGACCCTTTAGATCTAAATAGACGTCGTCGCGGTCGCAAGTAGGAGTGCTCGATATATATCGATTTTCATAAAAATATCGATACATGCCCTCGATATATCGAACCAATCCGACAATATCGTATCATTCGGTATCGATGTGTACTATCGATATATTTTATCCGATACATGAAAAATCGTACGCAATTCAAACCTGTACTTGCAGAAACGAAACGCCCTTCGAGCGCTGATTCGCTGGTCATCCGACAGTGTAACGTAGTAGTTATAACCTCATTGGCTAGTCGCACATACACACAAAAATATTGACAACAATATTGCTTGTGTACGTGAGTACGATTTCGTGTAATTTATGTATATATTTTAAATTATAATTTTTTTTTTGTATCCTGTATGTCTTAGGATACATACGAACGAGGCATATACTAACTGATTCGGCATCTCTCGGGGTCGCTGTGGGTCTTCAATCTGTTTGACAGCGTTGCGTGAGAGTGATAGAGAGTTAAGAGTGGGTAAATCCATCATTAAATTCCTTTTATACGCCGATAATAAAGTACTACTTGCATCGTCTGTTAAAGAATTGCAGGAGATGATGGATTTAACGTATGAATCGTTCCAAATGAAAGGAATGAGAATGAATGTGATAAAATTGGGTACTAAATCTACGGATAAAACTAAAGTTGTGGTTTTTGAAAGAAATGATAGTATGTCAGAATGCGTAATTGAAATCGGTGGAAAGATATTTGAACAAGTAAAAGAATTTATGTACGTGGGATGTATGATTACAAGGGATGGTAAATGTGAGAAAGACATTGTAAGAAGAGTAAAAAAGGGAAATGCGGTGAACGGTGAACGGTGCGTTGAGAAAGCACGAATGGCGGTACGTAATGTTGTGTTGGTTCCAACGATGTATGAGTGTGTGTGTTGGGTGTGGCAGAAGAAGCATGAGAGTAGAGTGAATACAGTTGAAATGAGATCCCTCAGAAGTATATGTGGTGTGCGGCTGTGTGACAGAGTGAAGAATGCTGTGATCCGTGAATAATGTGGTTTAAAAGAGGAGGTAGTGACAAAAATAGAAAAGGGTACGCTAAGGTGGTTTGGGCATATGGAGCGGATGAATGAATGTAGATTAACGAAAGAAATATACTGAGTTAACGTAGAAGGAACGAACGAACGAGGTAGGACGAACCGGGAGGCGTTCAGTGGGACGACCCCCTACTAGATGGACGGATGACCTTGTAAGGGCGGCGGGTAACTGATGGATGCACGTCGCGTCCGATCGGCTGATCTGGAAATCTTTGGGAGAGGCCTATGTTCAACAGTGAACGTCTTCCAGCTGGTATGATGATAGTGATGAACGTAGAAGTCATTGGAAGAGGACGGCCACAAAGAATATTCTCTGGCTAAAGGCTGGAGTGCGTAGTGAGAAGATTATGACATCTATGAAAAAATTGATGAATGTAAGTAAAGCAAGACAGGTTTGTAAGGATCGTGCTAGTGGCGATCCATAGTCTCTGCCTACCACAATGGGAATCTAAGGGCGTGAATATATATAAAAAAATAATAAATAATATATCTTATTTAAATTAACTCCTTCCAAACTTAGCTCTACTTCCTTTTTGGTTTTCCTCCGTTCGTTTCCTAATAGAAGTATTCTTTGTTTCCTAACCTTTGACGTTGGCAAAGTATTCTAGTGCCATTCAGTTTAAAAAAAAACCACCGGCATTCATTTGACATTGACAGGTTAACCGTGGGAGGAGGTTGTGGTTTAGCCGGGATAAAACTTATTGTAATTAAGTAGAAGAACATGGATAATGAAAATAAAATTGACTATAAAAAAGCTCTAGCCTACTGGGCAGACATCCCAGCCACTGTTGACGGCGTACTTGGTGGATTTGGTTTCATTTCTGATATGGACATAGAAGGTTCCAAATTGTTCCTGAAGTCTCTATTTGCTTTGGAAAATCGGCCTGAAGCGCATGATGCGATTGACTGCGGAGCTGGTATAGGTCGAATAACCAAGTTTTTACTAATACCAAACTTCCAGCAAGTAGATATTATTGAACCAGATGAAAAATTTCTAAGCACTGTATCGGATTTCGTAGGTGAAGACAAAAAGAAAATCGGCCGGTTATACAACGTTAGTTTGCAAGAATTTGACCCAGACAAAAAATACGATGTGTTCTGGAACCAATGGGTACTTGGATATTTGACTGATGACGATTTAATATCATATCTAGTTAGATGCAGGTAAGTACTTCCTTATAACATTTATAACCACACTACATAGAATAGTATTAGACCGAGATTATAATTTAAAAACTATTTAAGACATTTCTATATTATTTTCACACTTTTATTGGAGCACATTGAACTTTATCATATTATTTTGGTTCAGCATGCAATGCTATTGCATCAACAACATTATGAAAGATTTAATCACAATGTACAATTAAAATATTTAAGACAAAATTTATGCAATTTTCCAGAAATGCTTTAACAGAAAGAGGCGTCATTGTAGTCAAAGAAAATGTAACATCATCTGGACAGTCGGAGATGGACACCATTGATTCATCAGTTACAAGATCTCTTAAACAATTTCTGAACATATTTAAAGCAGCTAAATTGAAGAGAATGAAGCAATGTAAACAAACCAATTTTCCTAATGGTATTTATCCAGTGTATATGTTTGCTCTTGTTCCTAGTGAAGCAAGAGAAGTGAATAAAAACCACAATGTGGACACTGATCATCCAGTTAGTAATCATGATCATAATGTAGCCTGACATGTACTTTTTTATTTTATGGCCACGGGTCATAATTACAAACAGAAAAATACCATGTTTACCTGAGCATGTTAACACTTAGTCAATATTATTATTATTATTAGGGCGATTTCATTCAGGGCTGCATAGGCCCTCATCACTGCAACCATTACAGTTCAAAGCCAAGACCATTACAGTTCAATAGCATTAAAGAACTGAAAGATCTTCCCGACTTCTACAATCTGTGTCCTCTGGTTGTGTCCTGTGCCTTTCCAGCATGGAACCTCATATGCCCAGTGAGGGACAGCATTGGGTAAGGAGATGCAAAGAACTTTCACCCACATCAGTTGGTCAATTTGACCTATACAATGCCATTAACTTAACAGGATTTTATACATTTTTGTATCTTGGTTGGTGTAACTGTTCATTGTCCCAATGCTGATGTATGGTAGTGAATGTTAGATGTGGCGGAAAAGTCATGAAAGTGGAGTTAAAACTGTTAAAATGAGAGCTTTGCGCAGTTAAACTCTTAAAGATAGAATACTGTACTAACTGACGTACTAAGAGAGTATTGTGGTGTGAAAGATGAAGCAGTGGCCAGGATAGAAAAGCGAACGCTGTAACTGCGAAAAGATGGATGTTAGTAGTAACTTGGCCCAAATTAGAAGTAAACCTCAACATACATGTCTCAATCACATTGGGTATGTGTATGTTAAAAGTCCCAAGAATAAAAGTGGTGTTGTATGAGTAGCCTGATACAAGTGGAGGAGGTGAAAGAGGTTGGAGTTCATGGTATCTGCCATAATGGGAAAGAAGTGTGATAATTTTTTAACATTTTTACCTAGAGACCTGCAACAGGGACATGAAAAAGGGAACATTATCATGAAAGTTGTTAATAGCATTGTTACTCATCCATGAATACTGATTGACTATATGTACTGTGACATTTTATGACCATTTGTAATTTAAAAATATAGCTCGAACAAGAAAATTATCTGCTTAGATTGATAATTAGGTCACTTAAATATTGATTGATGATCAATTAGTTCAAAATTTAAATGACATGGTTTGAAAATAGTAGCCCTCATCATACAATCTAAAAGGCTATGAACAACTGCTTCACGAGATTCGTGTCATGAATGGATGGCTAGCCCAAACTACTTGGCCCAAACCCTCAGTTTCGACCCAGAGTTTGTGCAGCGGCTTATGTCTCCCGTGCTAAGGCTATTGTAGGATTATCCATGACAGGAAGTCGGGTTGCACACACAGTGGAAAAACGCCTTGATTCCCCTTGCTGTGTTTAATATAAGTGATGCATGTACAATGTTTGTGTGGTTGCAAATTGTAAACCTACCAGAATACTGCGGTTAAACGGATATTGCTTGTATAAACTCCAATCCTGACAGAGTGTTATTAAATTGATATTTATATTTGATGGCTTGTTACGTAACAAGGACTACATAGTCCCTTCTCATTGTATCTGTGCGCTACAACTGTGGGACACCAACTACAAGATGTGAAAGATGTTATATGCTTTAATAACCACTGTACATCCAAATATTGCAAATGTAAAGCCGATAACACCATCAAAAAAGCATAAGCAGACTTACTGAATACTAAGAATTGCAATCAATTGTCAAATAGACAGAAAACTGTTTTGAGAACCGACTGGTGTGCTAATAACCTACATAAGTATATTATTATCCCTTATTATGACTAACTTCACATAAGTTCTAAAGTGGAATAAATAGGGATTCATACAGAAGGTCCTGTTAAAAAAGTATTAAGTAATTTATCTGAACTTAAATGCTATATAAATTTTTAAGTCTTATTTATGGTCCTAGTCTTAAGAAGTTTCTATGATTATACTATTGTGTGATATGTATGACAATAAAATTGTCAAATAAAGCCTACTGTTTTAAAATCTATGCCACACCCTTTGATATTTTTAAAATAACTTCTCGTTCATTGTAAATATTATTTCCTTAGAACATACTGTTGGCGTTAAGTATAGTTCTACAATTAAAATTAACCAATTGAATTATTCAATGCAAAAATAACTTTTCAGACCTATTATTTTCAATGATAAAACAAATCTGAATATACAAAATCGTTGAATCAATCAAAATGATATTGAAATAAAATCAATCAAAAAATTAGAGGATACATATTTTTCCACCCAGAAAAAATTATTGGACCCTATATCTCAAAAAAACAAAAAATTATTATTCAAACATTTTATTATATAACAACTTTATGGACTTACCATAGCTTGTACAAGACATCGGTAAAAATAATAAAAAAAAATTTTATATACGGGGTTATTTGTAAAATACTAACAACTTCGCAGGACTACACTGCATAGGGCGTGTTCCCATTATGTCGTAACGTTTTATTTATCGTTGGTCGACTGTCGCGTCTAGCCTGTTCCCATATCACGACTATCTGTTGTGGACGTTTATTTTACCGTTCAACGACTGTAGTGTCTAGCTGTTCCAACTAGATCGTGACGACTATTTGACGGTGCACGTGCAGACAACGATAAATAAAACATGACGACAATAGTAGCTGCGATTGTCTGTCGTCACATTTTTATCGTGACTGTCGTTCTAGCTCTTCCCATTGTCTCGACAGTCTACCGTCGTAACGTCAAAAAAGTCGTGAACGACAGTTAATCATGCTGTACTATAGGTGAACAACTTCATTTAAATATACAAGCCACGACACTTTAAACTACACGACTATCTGTCATCGCGACATAATGGGGACGCGCCCTACCATTATAAAAACAACAACTCTTGTTCCAAGACTTTTGGTATGGTTTTACATCAGATTTTACTTTCGTACAAAAATAACAATATTGAAATAGATCGCTCTAAACGGAGTAACTCAGCGCGTTGGGAAAAGAAAGCACTCACCACCAAAATTATTTTTATGAATGACAGCATAGCAACAGCACACGTACGCGGGAAGCGTAGCTAAAGTACCACTACCAAATAGAGATCTAATAAAAAGTGGCAGATAGTGCAACAAAAACTTTTATTTTCTTTTTGCAAATATACTTATTGTATTATTAAAATGTCATGGAACATAAGTTGTGGTTTATGATAATTATAATACAGATCTGGGAAAATGTTAGTCTTTTTCAACTAACCCTGTGTGTACATATGTGAAAAAAGTACCTAGACAACAAAGAGTAACGCAAACAATGCTTAATATAATGCTCATTATTATTATTATAGGTGTGGTTCGACTTGCTAAACATCGCACCTAACTTATGTACTCGTATATATTACAGGTAACAAGCTATTACGTTCCACACTTCATAGCTGTAATGCCTCAGTCAACTCCAAATTAGGACTTCTATGCATTTCAGAATAAAATTTAAGTAGTCACGAAATCAGGATTTGACCCGGTTTTCTTTGTTTTTACATTATTGTGCTATTATTTTTATATTATTATTATATTGTAGTGTTAAATAGCATATAGACCATGAAGTCTAGAGCATTCAAATCCCACATGAATTATTTACGTCATCACACACTTGTACAGTGCCCACGGTATCGATCCGTGCTGACCTCACCAGTGTCAAATAATTAATGCCTCATTATGTACTTGTTTTCGTTAGTCAACATGCGAAGCCGAACAAAACGAAGACGCTATCGAAGCGTAACATCAGACATCATATCTTCGAATAGGTGCCGTGTTGATATTTAGATTATTAACTCGTATGTAATCTCGAATGTACTCCCGATCGTTTTCAGTCAATAATGTCCAACTTTCCAGCTCCACTAACACTTCAAGACACATACAACTTTCTACAATGCTCTTAACAGAGGTCATGGTCATAAAATCTGACTGCATAATTCGCAATTCCCTCAAATGTATAAGTGGATTTTTATTTAACAACTTAATAACAAAATCGTCGGTCATTTGCACTGCAGTGCCGATCTGAATAAATTCAACATTCAAACAATTGCTCAGTAGAAACATCAACTGTTCTTCTGTGCATTTCGCCACAATTGTTAGCTTTTTTAAGTTTCTATACGGTGAAATCTCTAACTTTTTCGTGTAAAGGGACGTATGTTGAATGAGAGTACAGTTATAAAAGGTCATGCTTTCAAGTAAAGGGCACATTTGACTAATATACATGAGAGCATTTAGGTCAATTTGATCAACATGTTCGAGGTGCAAGTGAGCAAGATTACAACCTTTCACCTGCAAGACTTGCTTTACTTGGTCTGCGTAAAAATCGCACGATAGCAATTTCAGCTCTCGCAAGTCTCGTAGTCCAATCAAGACCATCAAATCATTTTGCAACGTATTGTGGAATACTGTCATACTTCGTATGAAAGGGCACATTTCTACAGATAATTGTAATTGATGAAGTGTAGCGTATCGACTTACATACACCTTTAAATTTAAAGGCCTTGCGTCCGAATTAGTTAAATCAATATATTCTAGAATTTTGCCAATCTCATCGCAACGGCCTAGATCTTCTAAAGTTTTGCAATTTATTAATAGTTTTGTAAATCCTTCCAACGTCACAAAAGTCCTGTACAATTGTACACTTCTTAAATGCATTAACTTGAGCATTATATTTACGCTGTCATTCGTTATACACTTGGAACTAGAAATATCCAGTTTTTCGAGTTTAGGACAATTTTGTACTATACATTTTAGGATGTTGTCCGTACAGTCGTAGTTTATAACGAGATACTTGAGACAATGGAGAGTTTGTAAAGCTTGCACTACAGATTCCTCCATATCCGCAGTTTTCCAACCCCCAGACAATGATCCCAGATTTAAATAAACCAAGCCAGTAAGTTTATGCATGTTTATATAATACACCGATCGTAACATTTTAGGTATTTCGTCCATTGATACATATGTTAAGTTTTTTGTAAAAAGTACTTCAGCCATTTTAACAGCCACGTTCATTTGACTTACAAATTTACCCATAGACCCTCGAAAGCCTAGAGACTTTTTGATTTTATCTAAAAGCTCAGTTAGAGCGCGAATCACTTGATCAGCCAGTAAGTCGTGAAGCATCCACGGAACATTGTATTCGAGAAACGTACGTGTGCTATCCACTATCTTCGCAAGAATAATATGTGCTCCGGAGATATCACGTTGAGCCATATCAGCTACAGGTTCCATGTTCATTTCAGCTTTTTTCGCAACCCAGTCTCCGAGGCTATTTAGTGCTAAATGTTCTAGCTTCTTTGGCTGCTTATGACGCGACATGATGAATCTATAAATAACAGGAATTAGACTTTCGACAAATATATGAATATCTTTTGTTTTTCAAGTCATACTTTCTGTTTCTTTTAATCATTACCTCAATGGTTTTAATCTTGATACACCTTATGGTTTACATTAGCGTTTATTTTATATTTACAGAGTTGTGTGGCATAATGTTTAGGAATTTAAGACCGCTACTGTATTTATCTACACAACTCATGCATTAAAGATATCAAGCAAATCGTCTGGAGGATTACATTACATCGATCTTTGCAGGAAGTTGACAATGAAATTGAGTTTAAACGTATGTCTAGACTTACCAATTGAATGATTTACGTTCTGATATTATTCGACGGGAAGCGGAGAAAAGAGGACTAAATCGCACAACATAACATAACTAAGATTAGATGAGAGTTGGTATTTTTAGATACTCGTCCAAGACGTCACAGCTTACCGCACCGGTCATAACCACAGAGTAAGTACTGCTAGTCTTAGAAATGTGAAATGAAAAGATGATGCAAAGAACGTTGGGAATTAAACGATCAATAACCATCACTAGTTATATTCAAAGTTTGAGTGGTGTCACGTCGTTGGTACCTGTAATTTTCTATGCAATGAATTGGACCTCCGCTCCGTGATCGAGTGGCTTGCACGCCGCCGCCGGTTGTCATTGTGTCACCATCTCTGAGGTCCCAGGTTTGATCGCCGGCCGCGTCAATGTAGAAAATCAACTTTTCTATACTGTCTCAAGTGTGGGTGTTTGTGGTACCGTATTTCCGTACCGTGTTTCCGTATTCCATAACACAAGTGCTTTAATTAGGTACTTGCTCTGGAATCAGAGCAACGTATGTGATATTGTGTAATATTTATTTATTTATTTATTGTAGATCACAATTATTGTAGGTACATATTACAAGCAATTTGTAAATTGTTTATAATACCTACAAGTTAGGTACTTAGTCATTTGTATTAAGACAGAATGTTGGTTTTTAATAATATACCTATTATTTGAATTCATTACTAATGTTGGGGAGCTGATACCCAGGTATAAGTATAATTAATTATTCATTGTAATATAGATACCTAACATACTAAAGTTGTTTTTTATTACAACAGTTATCTGCATAGCATATATATGTATTATTTTTTATAATATATGAATTATTTTTACAAATTCATTAGAGTATATCGAGTTCTTAGGTTTTCGCGATTGTTACACATAGGAAATGAAGCTATTTTTCCGGATTTAAATCGCGTATATTTGTTTTTCAAACAAACCGACGTTTCGGGCCCTTTACAGGTCCCATGGTCACGGTTGACTGAACCACCGTAAATCCGGAAAAATAGTTTCATTCATTAGAATAGTTTGGTTCGATTGGCGGCGCGCACATTTCGTATAGGCATATCCATATAAGCAAAACAGATTTGAAATATTTTTTTTCCATAGTTGTTTCTTAACATGAATACTAGACTAGTAGAGTTCACAGACCACATTGGTAGAGTTAGTATTACGTCAGCAAGATTTGGAACTTTCAGTGAAATACTGAAAGTTCCAAAGTCCAGTTCGGTTATTTTCGTATTTTTATTTGCACAAGTTTTCGTAGCTTAGTAACAGTACCTAATGTTCATTATTTTGAATAACTTCATTTTTAATTTACTTTTCGGAGCTTTTTTTGGCAAGATTAATTATGAGAAGAGAAATAATTTGTTTTTATATTCACTATTTTCACGCATATTTTTACTTTTTCCACTCTTAAAACTAATATTGTATGCTCTTTGTTTTGAGATACAGTTGATGTTCGCGACGCCATTTTTGTTGTTATAATAATGCAGCGCTACTAGCGGCCATTTTATTCCGGCGGCAAATTTGCGGCGCTTTGTGAAACGCCACGTGCTATCAAATCAAATAATTCATATGCTACAAACATGGTGGTCAAGATAACAAAGTAATATAGTGCAAATAATAAATAAATAGGTACAAACATGTTTCGCCAAACATAAGATAGGCATGCAAAAAATTGGTTGACATTATGGAGGAGGTCGGTATGTTTTTTTTGTATATATGTTACGCGATAACTCCGCCATTTGTGAACCGATATTGATGATTCTTTTTTTGTTGGAAAGAGGGTACCTCAAAAGTCGTCCCATTTAAATTTGAAGAAAATATTTCACCTCTAACGGTGGTAAACTAGGTGATGAATAACTTTTGAGGTCGGTTTATTTTCGAACTTTGAAAATAATTACAAAAAAATGAATGCATGCAATGTCTAACGGACGATCGTATAGCGAGTGAATAAGAATTCAAGGATTGGAGCGGGGTCGTTGGTGTACGCCGCGCGTCGCTAGATGGCTCGAGCAGAAGTTTCCAACAAATTGGTGTCAGGTTGGATGGCCCGTTTCGGTGTTCCTAGCATCGTCACCACCGATCAGGGGCGTCAATTTCAGTCGGCGCTATTTCGGCGACTCATGGATTTTTTCGGAGGATCCACACCACCAGTTACCATCCTTGCGCCAATGGCATGGTGGATCCTTATCCTCAGCTCAAGACAGTGCTCATGTGCCACGCTGACCGTGGACGAGAGCGTTGCCTCAGGTACTACTCGGCATGCGGACGGCTTATAAGGAGGACACAAAGCATCATCGGCGGAACTTGTTTTCGGTGAGATCCGCCTTCCTGGCGAATTCATTATTGCTCCTCTTAACCTCCTATTCAGCCCCGCAGAGGCATCTGATTTAATAACCCATTTGACGTGCGATAAGGTGCAATTTGCCCGGTTCCTGCATCTCACCCCACCAAGCCTTCGTCTTTTATACTTAAAGATTTGGCGACGGCCACTTACGTACTTCTTCGGGACGACACGTCTCGAAGATCGCTGCAACCTGGACCTCACCGCGTCCCCGACAGGAGGGACACGATAATTTCGTTCAGACATCGGCTGAAAGACAGTCACCGTCAGCATCGCCGTGTGATATCTGCGCACATCGCCGATGGCTTCCGACCCCCACGAGCGTCGAGCCAGTGGCACAGCAGGCCACTGACTCGACTGTCCCTAGCTACAATCCCGTCACTATAGCCGCATCCAGTTCCCTCAGACAAACCAACTAGATCCTCGTCCGGCACTCCGTACACGATCCGGTTAGGAAGGCAAGTGCGTTTTAAAGTTTCTGTGATTCTGTTCAATAGGTTAGTTTTCGTTTTTGTGTTCGGTTTTCTCACTCCGTGGAAGTTGGTATGGCGGCTTTAGACGTCGCCTATTATTACAGGCTCACTGTGGCAGTCGCTATGGACGAGAGTCGCGATGGAGAGTGTTGCACTCACAATAAGAGAACGATAAATTTTCCGAACTGTTGTCCCCCCATTTTCTACCCTATGTATACTTATAAAGAAGAATGGTCAAACGTGATCCAAAAAGTGATCAACAGTCAATGTCAACACAAGAAAAAAGTATGTCATATATATATATATGTATATAATTTGTTGTTAATTGTAATGAGTAAAAAAATCTGTATAATTTTTTTATTTTATATCTGTGGCTAACATGTCAAAATTGCTATGTTTTTATAATCAGGAATAATAGTTTTATTTTATTTTATTCAAGTTTTATTTTAGTAAAGGTTCTGTGTAATATTTAAAATCAGTGGCTAAACTGTCGACATTCTAATATGTTTTAGTCAGACAAATTATTTTTATTATTATTATATTAAAATCAACTACGCGGTGAAGAAATAACAAACAATGGATTTAAGTAAGGTACTTATCAGTTTTTATACATTTTCCATATCTAAATAATCTAGTCCGTGCGCAGGGTGACTAAACACTTCTTCATGTCTAGCGCAACCCAGATAGCACACGACGCTCACGACGTGTGCACGGCTGCCCAGAATTATTCTACCATGATCTTTTGCCATGAAATCATGAGCAATAATAGGTACTATTTAATTGCTCTTCTGCCCTAACCGTATGGATCATACATCACATATGTGTAATACGTCTTTCTTAGGACATGTCTCGACTGGATTCTGCACCTTATAAGAACATTGTCTTCACTATTTATGTGTAAATTTTGAAGGTCCCGGTAAATCTCCATCACGTACATCACGTCTCCAGTCTCTTTAATGAGCTCGCTTGTGCTGTTTTGGCCTGTCCGCCAACAATCTTCTGAAGTTGTTCTGTCTATTTAAATATTTTCAGCGACATAATCAGCCAAAAGATTTGCTCTATGTATGGTTTGTTCAATTATAGAAAAAAAATCATTTACGCATATGCTGTGAGCGTATGGTTTCTGGAAGCGGTTTATCAGTGTTGCAATTTTAAAATCGGTCAATATATAAGGAACCCCGATGTTGAAAATTTGGTTTATAAATAGTTTAAAATCCCACTTAAAACGTCCTTTAACGGCTTCTACAATCCATCTGCAGATGGTGATGAGGCGATATTCATTTGCATTTTCTGTACTCAACTGAGTTTTTTGCGCCTTTTTTTTTTTTTTTTTTTTTTTTTGCGTGGGGAAATCCTCCTAGGATACCTCTCCGCCGCGGGGGCAGCGGGAAGTTATGCCGGACTTCTACCGGCTAAAACCCCACGGTGGCCTTCTCGGGTGCTCTAGTGGGAAGGATCCGGGATCGACTTTGCGCACCGGAACCCCCCCAGCACCTTGGAGGAGCTACGTCCTCCCCCTCCTCTCCTCACGACGAAGCGGGCCACACCGCCCCGTCGTCCTCCTCGCGGCTGCCTAACTTACTGGCGAACGGAGCCCCCGCTCCGATCGCCCGCAGCCGCGAAGGTACGCCGCCGCCGAGCGGGATCGGCCCTCTCCCGATCACGCTCGGCGACCTCCTTCTGAAGCATCACCGCTTCACAGAAGGAGACCACTGCCTCATGGGACTCTTGATCCGCCAACATAGCCGCTACTATGCCTGGCGGAGAGAGATCTCGCCCGATCCGGGCAACCAGGATGTTCCGCTCGGAGGCTCATGCGGGGCACTCCTCCAGCGTGTGCTGGGCGGAATCCTGGTCCCTCCCACAGTGGTGGCACTGCGTCGTCGACTCGCGTCCGATCCGATTCAGATACTCACCGAAGCATCCGTGCCCGGTGAGTATCTGTGTCAGTCGGAACGTGGTGACGCACTTTCGCTGGCTCAACCAGACTTCGAGGTTGGGCAGGATCGCGCCGACGGCGCGCTGGCGCGAGATCCACGGCTGTTCCAGCCTCTCGCGCCACTTCTCGAACGCCCGTCGGCGCTCCTGCCGCCGCACTTCCGGCGGCGCAGCTTCTTCCGCCTGGCGGAGGCGCGTGTAAATACGCGCGTCCATCTCCGCCAGAATGTCCAGCGGGGGAAACCGCGCCAGGACAGTCGCCGCGTCAAAGGATACGGTGCGGTATCCTCGTGCGATCCTTATGGCCATGCGGCGCTGCACGCCATTGAGCATGGCTCTGCAACGCCGGACGCCCGTCAGTCGGTGTGACCAGACGGGTGCCCCATACAGGGCCACGGATCGCACCACCCCACCGTATAAACGGCGAACTCCCTCCGAAGGGCCCCCCAGGTTGGGCAGCAACCGGTGCAATGCACCCGCCACCCTATCAATCCGGGGTACCAGGCGCCGGAAGTGCTCCTCGAAATCCCAGCGACCGTCCAAGATGAGGCCCAAGTATTTTAAGTACTGCCCCACCTGGACGTCGACGTCACCAACGCGAATCGAGAAGCTGGGCGGTTCCCTCCCTCGCGGGAGTTTGTGGAACCACAGCGCCTCAGTTTTCTGAGGCGCTACTCGCAAACCCAGCTCCTTGATTTTTTCGACGACGCGAGAAACCCCGAGCTCAGCGAGCCGGATGGTCCTCTCGAAGTCCTCCCCTCCGGCGAGCACCAGGGTGTCATCAGCATAACACACCAGATGCACGCCCGGGGGGAGTGCGACCCTCAAGACAGCATCGTATGCTAGGTTCCAAAGGAGTGGTCCAAGGACAGACCCCTGCGGAACCCCACACACGACCTCTCTGCGATGGCTTGCGCCGTCCCGACCCGGGTACGTAATGTACCTGTCGCATAGGTAGGACCTGACAACTCGCTTCAGGTACGGAGGCACTCGATGATACTCGAGCGCCTCCTTAACGGTCAACCAGGGCAAGGAGTTGAAGGCGTTGATGATATCTAGGCTTACCGCCAACGCCACTCCGCCCCGGGACAGTACCTGCGTCGACAGTGTACGAACGTGAAGGATCGCGTCCACTGTCGACCGCGCCTGCCGGAAGCCGTACTGGTCTTCCGACAGGTCAGGCCCTACTCGCGACAGATGCCCGCTGAGCCGCTCGGCAAGTGTTCTTTCAAACAACTTGCCGGCCTCGTCCAGCAGGCATATGGGTCGGTATGCAGAGGGAGAGTCTGCGGGTCGACCTTCCTTCTTTATAAGGACCATCCTCGCCGACTTCCAGCCGGGCGGGAACACACCGCTCCGGAGACAGCTGGTGAACAGCCGTCTCATGTGGTTCCCCAGTCCGGCGTGGAGAGCCAACACCCACGCCCTCCCCGGGACACCATCCGGGCCAGGCGCAGTGTTCCGAGCACCGAGACGCCTCACGGCTCGATCCAGCTCCTCGTCTGTTATGCCGAGATCGTCAGACCAAGTGTCCTCATCCGTCACCGACACTTGTCCCGACGATCCCGGGGCGGGACTGCTCTCGACTCTAGGGAAGAGGGTGACCACCACCCTCTCCACGAACGCAGGGTCGAGGCTTGTCGTCAACGGAGGGACCCAGGGCCGGAGCTTGTCCATAACCATTTTGTATGGCCGCCCCCATGGATCCCTCTGCAGTCCCTCGAGGAGCTCGCCCCAGGATCGAGCCCTGGCATCTTTTACTGCGAGGCTTAGCGCCCTCGCAGCGTCCCGGTACTCCGTATAGGCTCCCTCTCTCTCGTCGACGGTGGCTCGCCGCCTTCTACGGGCCCTTTTCCACTGGCGTCGGGCGCGCAGACAGACCAAAGTCAGCTGCGCTAACTCCTCCGACCACCAGTGCTGGGCCCGCTGCTCGGTGCGTGCAACTCGGGGCATCGAGACATCACAGATGGACGTCATCATGTCCCCGAGCCGCATCGCTTCCCTTTCCGGATCGGGCGAGATCTCAACGTCGGAATCTTCCGACCAAGACGCGACGATGGCTGCGGCCTCGAGCAGATCTCTGTCGAGCCGCTTGAGGGACCATCGTCGCGGTGGGCCGCCGTGTTGGCGACGGGAACTGACGGGACGGCGGAATACCACGTCGAATACGATGTGGTGGTGGTCAGATAGCGTGACCACCTCTTCTGCCACCCGCCAGGCAGACACCATGCGCGCCGCTGAAGGAGTTGCCCACGATAGATCGATGAGCGACTCCCCCTGCCACCGCACGCAGGTACTGACTGACCCCCGATTCAAGAGTTGGAGGTCTAATCCCGCCGCCCACTCTAGCATTATCTCCCCTCGGACACTATCCCGGACGTCGCCCCATGCTCTAGAGCGAGCGTTGAAGTCGCCCAGGACAATGACGGGACGAGGATGACATCTGCGAACGCAGTTTGCCACCCCGTCCAGGTATCCCTCGTAAGCGGCGAGGGACACGTTGGGGGAGACATAGCAGCCCACGACGGCGAGAGGACCCCATTCCACTGCGACAAAACCCTGCCCTTGTTCGAGCAGGATGCAGTGTGGGTCCTCCTCTCCGCCTCTCCAGTGGATGGCGACGGAGCCCGCGGAGTCACCGAACCATTTAGGATGGTCCGGTACTCGATATGGCTCCGTCACCACGGCCAGGGCAACTCGAAGCTCACCGAGGGTCTGCAGAAGGAGGCTCTGCGCCCCTCGCGTGTGGTTCAGGTTGCATTGGAGAACGCACATCTGAGCGAATGTTACGTCTCCATGACCTCCGCTGGAGCAGAGCTCGTGCTCTGTTGAGTCGACGCAGCCACCTGTGGCTGTGATGGCCCGTCGCCGGGGGTTTGGGGAGAGCTCTTCTTTCTCCTCCTCTTCCCTTTCGGGGGAGAGCACTGCTTAGTGCCCAGTCTATGATTGGCAGGCCTGCCAAGGTCCGCACAGACCGGGCACTTGGGAGAGATCGCAGTGCACTCCTTCGCCTTGTGGCCTTTCTGGCCACATGTGAAGCAACAGTCGCT